GGATTATACTTAATTATGCATTTATTGAAAGTGAAACTGTTGATGCATTTCTGTTAATAGATCTCATTTTGGAAAATATTGATATCTTTCAACCATGATTATTTTTAGGATTATGATGATCACTTACTGAGTAGCCAAACTCATCAAACTATGGTAAACATTTTTCAGGATGATTGCGGTTTCATTTGTGTCCTCGTCAAGATCAACTTTAAGAAGATATTGTAGTTTTGCTTAAACTTTCTTTATTTACTTTGTAAGACCTCGCCACTGTAAATTTGTCCTATCAATAGATGTATATATGTTTTGACTGTCACATCTCAGGAATATCAGTATTGTAAATTCTTGGGGTGTGACAGCCCAAATCTAAGCATCTCACAAAAATGAACGGCATATGTTAATTGAGCTAAAAATATTTTCGAAGTTATATTTTCATTTTTTTTTTTAAATTGTTCATTAGAATAAAAATAATGTATATTTCAAATTTTGGATCAAATAAATAGCCATAAGATGGTTTTTTAAGGTTTTTGCATCATATTATTATACATTCACATAAAGGAAATATTTATATACTTTCCCAGTAACATAGAAGATCTATGATTTCCCTACTATCCAGCCATCCAAGTTTGATCAAGTGAGCCACTCACCATTTGATCTTAGATCCGATGATTCATAGTATTTTATTTTTAATATTTTTTTATAAAAAAATGTACGAATATGAAATTGGCACGCATCATATTCTCATTGGGGCGTAGCTACAAAAAATATTAAAAAAACTTTGTAATCCGATGACAATGCCATATAAGTAACTTTTTGCCAACAAAAATACATAACAATATACAAACATTACAATCATTTCACCAAACACTCCTAAATCCTAAACGTATATAACTTACATGCTCGGGAGCCTTTAAAAAGATTCATTCCCGAAAATTCCAATTACTCTCTCTTTCTCTCTCATCGTCTATTAATTTATACTCCTTATTTAATATAATCTTCTCCTGTTTTAACTCTTTTCCATTTTCTTGTGCTGTTTTAAAATTCGCAATTGGATGACCCACTCGCTGTCCAAATCTATATAAGCCGGAGTGGCGATCTCAAAAGGCTAAATTATCAAAAAAATAGGTTAAAATTCAGAATCACACCCTACTTATTGTCGAAATATATATATATATTTTTATAGGTAGATCATGAGGAATATAGGATCCTACCTATTTTAGAAATGGTTAGTAGTTTTTGAAATATATCAATAGGAATGAAAGCTTAGATCGGTCCTCGAGGGTGCTACCACGACAACCTCAACCTCATTCCCACTTATTGTGTTGCCATAGTGGCGATATTAAATTTTGGATCGACTAAATTATCAAAAGAATAGCTTAAATTTTAAAATAATAATACGGGGGCATTCCGATAGGGTGAGGATCTGGATAGATGATAAAGTTGCATCCAGTAATTCTTGATCCAGATTCCATAATTCAAAAACTGTTTTTTATTGCTTTCTCAATCTCAAACCAAACCAGAATAGATTTGCATTCAGTAATTCTTTATCCGGATCCCAGAATTTAAAAAGCGGTTTTTGTTGCTTTCTCATTCTCAAACCAAACCATAACAAAATTGGTACCATTTCATTTACATTACGATTGGATAAATCGAATAATCCGGGCTAGCATATAATAGAAAACAGCATTGTATTCACGTTTAAAGAGAGAAAGCAAGGTTTTAGAGAGAGAAAATAAGTTAATATAGAGAGAGAGAGGAAATAAAGAGGGAAACGATAGGTACGATTATATCGTATTACAGTTCCGTTCGCGCCAGGACTCCTTGTCTATTTCGACTAGGAATAATCACCGGTTACTATAAAATCCAATAAAAACCGGCGTTGCATTCATGTTTGGAGAGAGAAGTATTTAGAGAGAGAAAGGAAGGTAAAAGGATTTCTGGCTCCGGTGGAAAAGCGAGAGAGAGAGAGAGAACCAGTGAGAACTTGCACAAGGGAAACCCAGAGAGCGTACGAGAGAGAGACGGGATCCTTTCAATTCGATGCTTTTTCTCTCTCCTCAACCTGGTTTTGTCCATGGTGTAATCTCCCTGTCATGGGATTACAGGGGGTTTGTCATGTTCAGTAAGAGGAGATCCCATTGCTGGTTCTTTCGAGGGGTCCTTAAGCCTTGAAATCGCAATATGTGGTTTTCTTTCTGGCGATCCAGAAACCGTTTCTCCTTAGATGAGCTCAAGTAAGCCTCTCCTTCTCTAGTTTTTTTTTCTTCTCTCTCTCTCTCTCTCTCTCCCCCCCTATATCGTTGCCTCTCTCTATATCTTTAGGTTTAATTGTGACCAGTAGGGTCTGAATGCGAACACGTATTGAAATTATTTGGTGTGGTTTTTGTTATTTGATTGTTCTTATCAGGAAAAGAGTTAAATTGGACTGAGATGGATTTTAGAGGGAATTTACGATTAATTACGAACCCTTGACTATCTACTATCCAGCCTAAATTGCACCTTAAGTGAAAATTTTTCGTTTTTTGGTTGGTTTTGGATCAACGAGTGCTTGAATTTCCTAGTAATTGTCCATATCACCTAAAGAAACAGAGAGAAATCCGTTTTAATGGGAAATATTAATGGGCAAAATTTGCAGTCCCCAATAAAAAATTGCAATCCCTTTTAAGGGGAAATATTAATGGGCAAAATTTGCAGTCCTCAATCAAAAAGAAGAGGGAGAACTCTATTGACGTATCACTTTTTTTGTTCCCCTTATTGCTGGTGAGTTGATTTTGGACAACTTTCAAAAAACATAGTTGAAACTTGTTTGGTTTTATTGAATGATATGGACCAGTCTGAACATATAATTTATGTACTCAAAATCATCTAACACTGCATCGTCCCCCTTGATGCTATAGAATACCTGAGTTTAAATGAGGGCAAGAAATCATAGGTTGTGGAGTTATCTGTTAAATTGATACAGCCATGCCCAACCCACAACCAATAGTTCGTGGCTGGGCAAAGCAGGGTCGTAGAAACATGGAGGGCAAAAGGGGCCAATATTGTAATTAGGGGAAGTTACTTTGGATTTTTATTTTTTATTTCGGTTGTTGTTATTTTATTATGAGCAAGTTTAGTCATTTATTTTTAAGTTAATAATGGGTCGCTAGGATTACATAAAATAAATGACAGGGATTTTGTAAGAGCTTTTAGGGTTTTTTAGTTACTTAAATACTTGTTATTGAAGGGTTTAAGGAAGATCAATTATTATTTTATGGAGAACTTTGAGTTAATAAGATTTGGGAGGTAGATTGCTATTTGCTTTTGTGATTTTTTTTCTTCCTTCCCTTTAAGGTTTGTCATTTAATAGAAGTTATGTGAAGTAAGGTGCTACTGATTTGTGAAGAATCAAGCCCTAATTTGCATCAAGTGGTATCAGAGCGGGGGTTACGATGATTTCAAAAGAGGCACATCGTGAAGAATTGAGCTTGTTGACTCAAGTAGTTCAAGCCCCTTTGTAGAGAGTAGATAAACATGCGCAGGAGGTTGGGGAGCTTCGGCGCGGAAGGAATTTGGAGACCGGTGTTGGAGTTCAAGGCAACGATGATGAAAGAGGTAATTTGCATATCGCTCCTAACCAACTTCGAGTGATCGTGATTAATGATAAATTTAATGATCAACTTCTTCGATTGTTGGAAAGGGAAAGGAACTTAGAATCAAAATTGATATTTCAAAGTTCCATGACTGACTTTATGTGGATGATTTTTTTGATTAACTGAGTGAAGTTGAGAAAGCATTTGAGCATAAAGATATTGATGATTACAAAAAAGGTGAAATTAGTAGCAAAAAGGTGAAATTAGTAGCATAAATTTTCTGGTCATGCCTTGACTTGGTAATATGATTTACAACAAGATCAACCTCGATAAGGCAAGGAGAAAAATAATTCATGGGAGAATATGAAGATAAAACTACGCAGGAAGTTCTGAACTATGCTCAAACCTTGTATTCAAAGGTGTCAAAATCTCAAGCAAGGGAAAAAATCAATGAGTGAGTATACTGAGGAGTTTCATATTTTAACACGTACGACAAGTATATGAATGATCCAATATTAAAAGCTAAGTTGGCTAAAGGGATGGGGCATAATTATTACGGAGAACTTGCATGGCCCAATGATCGTTTATATATCTTTCTAGGAGTAATTTTAGGTACTATTGTATGTAACGTGGGTCTAGTTGCTCTAGAACTTTCAATGATTGGTGAACCAACGGATCCATTTGCAACTCCTTTGAAAATATTACCCAAATGGTACTTTTTTCCTATATCCACAATACTACGTATGGTACCTAAGAAGTTTTGGGTGTCCTTTTAATGGTTTCCGTACCAATGGGATTATTGACAATACATTTTTTGGAGATTTAGATACTTTTTCAGACCCATTGTCTATACTTAGTAACAATCACAATTTATATTCATTTTTCATGACATTTTGTATGAATCGACATGGTCAATTTAAAAAAAAAATTGCGGGCCAAGATCTTCTTTCTAAAGAGATTCATAACTATTATATGTCCAAGGTCCAATATTGAAATTATTTAAAAGGTTTTCCCTAATGTTGTCTGTGTCAATAAACAATTTGAAATACCTCGAATTTTTCAGAACAAGTCCAAGTCAAATAGCAATGATTTGAATATTCTTTTTACACTATTTCGGAAACCCAAGGACTCGATCGTATCGATATATAAAAAACAAGATTTCCATTCATAGCAAGAAAATGAGGGAAACAGATCCTCAATTTAAAGTGAGTAAACATAATTCCATACTCCATCCATAAATACAATATGGGGTCAAAAAGTCAACATAAGTGATTCATTTTTAGCCCTTATAAAATTGATTCTTGAACCTTTTTTGTGCTCACGTCATGTTGAGGTACTGCAGAGCAGCAGAAGAACAAGCTCCAAAATATGTCGAAGTATAAAATTCCTCAGTATACTCACTCATTGATTTTTCCCCGACTTGAGATTTTTGACACCTTTTATATAAGGTTTGAGCATGGTTCAATGATAAGAACTTCCTATGTAGCTTTGTCTTCATCTTCTCTTGTGAATTAATTTTCTCCTTGCCTTGTCGAGGACAATCTTGCTGTAAATCATCCCACCAAGCCAAAGCATGACCAAAATTTTTTATTGCTACTAATTTCACCATTTTGTGATAAGCTATATCGTTATATTCACATACTTTCTCAATTTCACTCAATTAATCAAGAAAATCATCCACATGAAGTCGGCCATGGAACTTTGGAATATCAATTTTGATTATAGGTTTTATTTCCCTTTCCAACGATTGAAGAAGTTGATCATTGAAATCATCATTAACCGGGGCCACCCGAGGTTGGTTAAGAATGAGATGCAAATTATCTCTTTCACCGTCGTTGTCTTGAACTCCAACACCGGTCTTCAGATTCTTTCCACACCGAAGCTCCCTAAACTCCTATGTGAGTTTATCTACTCTCTCAATTAGGGCTTGAACTACTCGAGTCAACAAGCTCAATTCTTTTCAGGTTGCCTCTTTTGAAGTTATTGAAATTGTTTTGATACCACTCGATGCAATTTAGGGCTTGATTCTTCATAAATCACCACCTTAATTCATAGAAATTTTATTAAACGACACATCTTAAGGGGACCGAAGAGTAGAGAAGGAATAAAAAAAATCACAAAAGCAAAACGCAATCCACCTCCCTAAATTATTAACTCAAAGTTCTTTAGAAAATAGCTATTGATCTCCCCTAAACCCTTCAATATCAAGCATTTAAGTAATTCAAAAACCCTAAAATGCTCCTAAAAATTATAGCCATCCATTCTATTTAATCCTAGCCACCCATTATTAACTTAAAAAACAAATGACTAACTTTGCCCCTTATACAGTAAGCAATTACAATTGAAATAAAAAGATAAAAGTCCAAAATAACTTCCTGTAATTACAATATTGGCCCCTTTTGGCCCCCATGGTTTTACGACCCTTCTTTACCTTGCCATGTATTATTGGTTGTCGTTGGGGCATGGCTGCGTCACAAATAAAAAGAGAGCCTTTATACCATTCAAAGAATATGTAAGTAGTCAATTAGGGGGAAAAAAGTGACATCACATTGTGGACTTTATGCTGGTTTATATGGAACCTCTTTATTAATTGTAGAATTATGCCTATGGAATGTATCTGTTTTCAATTATGATTAGTAGTCATTGTGTGCTTATTTATTTATTTTTGATAGTTATGTTTCTAAATAGACCTCAAGCTTTCATAAAGTAGGATGAGATATTCGGTTTTTGGATGAGCATGATGGAAAGCAAATTTTGATGAACCCTTCCCAAAGTGCACATCAAAATTCAGAAGTACATGCCCCTAAAGTTTTGAATTGTTTTTAAGATTTTGAAATTTGGGACATATACTTATGTCTTATTAATGTAAGGGAAAAAGGATCTGGTATTTTTGATGCCGTGTAGGGATATCATCTTATTTAATCTATTGGATATTCATTGTGAGTCCAGATTGATGAAGTTTAAAAGTTGGTTTGAATTTTTAGCATATGCTTCTAGCTCTCTTCCAGTTTCTCTTTAGACTTTAATCCATTTGACTAGTTGAAAGGAGCAAGCTTTTGTTGGAAAATACATACGATTATCGTTTCTTTGTTGTTATAGGCACTAGGCATGTCATTTAACTAAGTGGATAATGGTTGGGTGGAACTCAGAATTCTTCTTAATTCAGAGCCATGTGTTGTTTGTTTGGATTGTTTTGCTGCATGACTCTGAGTGATTGGTGTCAAATTCTGCGAGATGATAAAGAGTCTGTGGCTGACTGAAAATCAAATGAGTACAATTATTTAAGACCTGCCCTGCCAGCCGGCTTTGACTGATCGAAGGTACCATCAGTTGGTAACAACTGTAACACTTTCATCAACCAATCATGGATAGGTTTAACCATGCCCTCTTTGATAGGATTCGAAATCGTAAACGGACCCCTCTTTCTTACAGCCAATACGACCATGTTTGGAAATTTTTGTATAGGAAGTATGAATTTAAGAATAAAAGTTACTAAATGTTTTGAAATGTTATTAATATCTGGTAATTGACATGAGATATATGCATCACCGACATAAAAGTACAACTCTGATTGGTTGGTGCCAGAACCTTCCCTACATATGGAAATTCTTGTGATTTAGTAGTAATTTAAGAGCAATGAAAATTATTAACTAACAAAAATGAAAATTGTTAGTACTCCAAAGAGTCACAAAACTTAAAAACCTTTCTTGTGAGATAATGTTTTTTTGGCCCTTTTCATCCTCATAATTTTCGCTTTGGTGAGGGAGGCTGATGAGGAGGGAGACAATCTTGCTGAAGGCTGTATTTCACGTGATGCTGTTCTGGTTGAGGCTGATGTTTTGGCTTATTGAGATGTTGGCTTGACATCTCTCTGATGCCATCCTTGCTTATTTTATATTTATAAATAAAGTTGCTGTTAGTGATAAAAATGTATCGTTTATGGAGATCCAATTTACCCAACCTTAATAGTTTTCCTTGTACAAAGCATTTCCCACCTAGTAGCTCCTTGTCAATCACTAATCTTGGGTGAAAAATGAAATCTTATATGGTGCAATGTATTTCGCCCATTTCAAAAATACTTTTTTTGACACATTCTTTATCACCAGCTTAATATATTAAAGGTCTCTATCTTGTGTTACACTAGTTGATATAACGTTTTGCATACTCTGCTGAATTTGAATTTATGGCCACTATTTGGTGCAGATATCTCACTGATCAGCTGCAAAAGATTCCGGTTGTTAGTGATATCAACAAGGTAATGCTTCATTGAATGCACACACCCTTTTACTTTTATTGGATGAATTGAGTTATTCTTGTTTATTATACAGTTGAGATTGTTCTTATGTTATTTGATTTCTATGGTGAAGGATTTTGTTATTGAGACTCTAAGGTCAATTGCGGAGTTAGTGACATATGGTGACCAGCATGATCCAACCTTTTTTGAGTAAGATATCTCGATATGCACTCTTCGTTATTATTCATGGCATGGTGTTATCTCTTCTAATTATCTTGGCATCTGCTTAGGTTCTTTATGGAGAAGCAGGTCATGGGAGAGTTTGTACGTGTTCTTAGAATCAGTAGAACTGGGACTGTTGCTCTTCAGTTGTTACAGACAATGAGTATTATGATCCAAAATTTAAAAAGTGAACATGCTATTTGTAAGTTATGCAATGGTGTAAGGAATTGTGTTTTTGGTTTTTTCTTTTGGGTTTTTGATCTGCAGTGTAAGAAATTGTCTAAGACTTTAGATGATCTCTAACCAACTCAATTTTGAACCCAGAATTGTATGAGATATTTATTACTCCCCTTGCGATTATGCAGATTACATTTTCAGCAATGAGCACATAAATTCTCTTATAACTTATAAGTTTGACTTCCGAAATGAGGAGCTTTTAGCATACTACATATCCTTTTTAAGGTGGGTGAGGGCCTTTTGTACTTTTTGTTTGTACTTTTCCTTCTTTAGATTTTTTTTTCCTGACTGTGTTTATATACTTCCAAGTTGTTTGCGGCCGTTTGTTGGTGTTAAACACACTGTTCTTTTTTTTGGCTCACATGGGCTATTTTGTTGTGCTTTTTGTAGAGCAATCAGTGGGAAGCTGGACAAGAATACAATATCTCTTCTGGTAAAGACACACAATGTACGTATATATTCACTTTGTAAATGTGCAATGTTCTTGTGCCTATTGCAACATATTTTGATCGATGATGTTTGTTCTTTTATAATTACTCTATGGTTCTACTATGGTCGTGAGCAATGCGCTGTTTGGCATTGTAGATAATGATTGCTTTTCAGATTTATATGGTACTTGTGAGATTCCAAAATATTTGGGTTTGGTTCAAACACTCTCTATATCCCATATTTGTTTGCTAATTTTCCTAGAATCTCTCACATACAATATTTGGGTTAGGTTCAAACACTCCATATCCCATATTTGTTTGCTAATTTTCCTAGAATCTCTCACATACACTTAAATTTATCTCTTACTACTTAACTTCTACTGATGTTATGTTTGCAACCATTCTTATGAATGAAACTCAGCATTTCAAAATTTAGAACGATAACAACAATGTCATTTTGACAAGTTCTAGATTTGATGTGATTGCCTGTATTCTATGATCTCAATTGCATGCTTTGAATATTGGCCTTTGGCGTCTGTCCGCTTTATTTATATATGTATTTGCTGCATGCATTCAGGATGAAGTAGTTTCTTTCCCATTGTACAGTGAGGCAATAAAATTTGCTTTTCATGAGGAGAACATGATCCGTATTGCTGTACGTGCTCTGACACTAAATGTCTATCATGGTAAGTTGTACTAATTACTTCCCTGCTACCCTTCTAACAGAATTGTTTTTGGAAAAGTACAATATAATTCTAAGGGCTTTGGGAAAGCCACAGTTCTCAAGGTCATCTTGTCTATCATGTCCATGGATGATGATAACCCTGAGGACTATGGTTTTCATGTAGCCCTTAGGATTACAAAATACTTCCCTTGTTTATTTTTCATCTATCAGTATGGTTACATCTCGCTAAATTCGTCTTCAGTCGGAGACGAATGTGTGAACAGGTTTGTCACCAGCCCTCCTCTATCAGATTATTTTTCTGATCTGGTCACACATTTCAGAAAGCGGTGCCTGAATTTGGATGGATGGTTTTCTGATGCTGCAAGGTAAGAACCGCCTGTCAAACTCTTTATCACTAAATTGTGTGCTACCTTTATTCCAGAGTTGGAGGCTGATCCCTAATAGTCTTATTAATATTAACATTCACTAGCAAATGGCACGTGCATTGCACGATGCTCTCACTGAGAGATTAGTTTTAGTCTTATTTTATTTAATTCTATCTGAGCTATTCTAGTTTCTTTTTTGAGTTTTCTTTTTTCTGGATAAGCTAAATACCATTATGGAAATTCCTTTTTTTTACACTTCCCATTTTTGGTAGCCTTATTAGTATATAAAACCCTTTTTTCTCCTAGTTCTTCTCTATAATAACTTAAAATTTTTCAATAAGTTAACACATGAATTTTTTTTTTTTTAAATCAGGGTTGGTATAAAGCATAAAAGAGATTATTAAGGCAAGGTGGATAGGATTTTTTCTCTTTTATTGGGCAACTTTATCATTGGATATATATATCCCCCAAAACAAAACCCCCCTTTATTACATATAAAACCTTTTTCTCCTAGTTCTTCTCTATAATAAATTAATTTATTTAAATAAGTTAACACATTAAATTTTTATTTTTAAATCAGGGTTCGTATAAAGCACGAAAGAGATTATTAAGGAAAGGTGGATAGGATTTTTTTTGTTTTATTGGGCAACCAAAAACAAACTCCTCATTTCCCCCAAGTTTTAAATGAAGATATAAGATGTTAGTTTTACTGACTCCCTAGTCCCGAGAAACAATGAGTATATGATGTCAATCTGAATATATAACTTCACATAAGAATTAAGATATAATATAATTATTAATTTATCAAATAAAGTAAAACAAAAATAGTAGTATATCAAAACATGACTCATTGTACAAACAGAGAATCAACAATTCATAAAAGAATTCGATATATGCCCAATTTCATCCTCCAAATGAGGAAAAATTCAATTAATCACAAAAAAATAAATCTTTCAACTACAAACATGTAAATATATCATAAAAGAAAAAATTAAAAGCAAAAAACAAATGATTCTTTGTAGCAAAAACAAATTCAAGTATGATGATGCTTTTAAAATATCAAAATTACGATGTCGGTGCAAACCTTGTTTATTGGGTCGCCAAAAGTCCTCAAAATCAACTACTAGAAGCTCCAAAAACACCCACAAACTATTGCCTTTGTTTTGGGAAGAAATAGAAAAAATAAAAAATTTATCGATCTTTCGATAAATCAAAGATTCGAGGTTTTTAGGGAGTTTTAATGTCTCTAAGAGTCACGGATTAGGTTGTGGGGGTTTAGAATACCCCCCTAAACCCCCCCCCCCCCCTTTTTTAGGGGGTGGAAATTACTAATTTTGACCTGAGCCAAGGGCATTTTTCTGCCCTTGGCAACCTGCATCGAGGCGGCACCGAGGTGGCTGCCTTGACTGTAGCGCCTAGGTGGTGCCTTGCCCACCTAGGTGGGCGCCTAGACGCAAGCTGCCTAGATGCCCCGTCTAGGCGTTTTAGTAATTAGGCCGCCTAGACACGATCTCTACGCGGCCAGCCCACATATTGTAGAAATGCGGGCTTGGCGATAAATATATTTTTTAAATATAATTTGATCCTAATTTTTAGAGAATATATAATCTTTAACATGGAGATCATGAATATAAAAAAAAGTAATTGAAAAATAGAAATAATAATTATATTAAGAAAACATTTGGACCATTAGTTACACTTGTGTTTAGATGGACCACCTATTTGCATTCATCTTTAAGATGGATGCTTTCTATCTCTGGACCGCATATTGTAGAAATGCAGTCCAGCCCGCATGAAACAAATATATATATATATATATATGGGATAAAGCTACCAAAAGGAGACATCTATAATGAATAATAATATAGGTGGAATCCAAGCCGTCAGATTTTCATTTGGTGGTTCAGAATACATGTCATTATCTGAATTTTAATCTTTTTTCTAGACATCAGATTGAGATGAAATTTTGGGTGTACATACTTGACCCCAGCATGCACCACATAAAAATATAAAAAAATACTTTAATAATTTAAAATGACCAAATCACCCTCATCATTTTTAAGGGATAGTTTGGTCATTTTATATTTTGGAAAATAATTGTTTTATATTTTTTCTTGTGCACCCTATGTTTTAGTACACACGTCCCAAATTTCATCTCGATTCGATTTCCGGAAAAAATATTTAAAATTTAGATAGTGATATGTATGGTAAACCACTCGAATGAAACTCTGACGGTTGAGATTCCTTCATTTTTCCCTATAGGCTTGCCACCATCTGATTGTTTTGGACGGTAGGGGAAAATCAACCTCCACAGACCTACTATGTCCAATGCGGTACTGTCACAGACATAGGAGGTCCGTGGTGGTCGATTATTCACGTTAAACCTATGTTTGTGGCGGTCAATTTTTCATGTTAAACTACAACGGACTTATTATGGGCATTGCAGAGGCGAAAATGCTATTCACTTTACCTATAGGCGTTGGAAAGTATCTCTCTCTCTCTCTCTCTATATATATATATATATATATATATATATATATATAATAGT